GTGCGCCCCAGGGTGGCTGTGGCTACAATGTAGCTTGCCATCACCAGTGTGTGAATGGGTGCGTGAATGGGTGGATGGATGACTGGATATGTAAAGTGCTTTGGGGTCCTTAGGGACTAGTAAAAGCGCTATATAAATACAGGCCATTTACCAATGTAATGTAATGTAACATGAAAATAATATTACATGTTTACTGAGGCTCTTCCATCACATTATCGTCTCCTCAAAATCACTTCCATTATAGACAGACAGACATAGATAGCAGAAGCTCACAGATAGAGAGCTTCTGCTGTATTTTATTTAACATTTAATGTTCTTTTGCAGCATTTTTCCATTTGCTTGTGTTTTCTTAAGTTGCACTGCCCAACAGTTTGGTCTACAATTGTAGCAGACATAAAGCAAATATTAATATTTGGTGTTACCATTTAATGAATACAAGTCCAGAATTCACTCCTTTTAGCTCAGTTTTGGTCTTCAACAAGCCCTGAGTGAAATGTGTACAAAAAAAAATGCAAAAGCTGCAAGCTGTTGGTGGATTTGTCACCATTAGTAACCACTTCCTGCTTTGCTACAAATTTGCCAGGGTTATAGATACAGTACATTGTTTCCATATTCTCTATTTGATACTTAACTAGTGGAGTAATGGTCAGAAATGAAAGCTATCTAAGCAACAATACTCTGCCTCTTTAAGGCTGTCAAACCTTCCAGGCACTTGGAGAACAACTGACACAACAGTCTGACATTTCGACATCCTCGGGATTGAAAGATTAAAGTGATGAGCCGTCACTTTATCCAAAGCGGTGGGGACTTCATACCGGCTGCTTCATTTACATATTAATTGATAGATGTTAAAGGAGTCCAGAGCCATTTATCTCCAAAGGAGTCAGCCATTTTGATGAGCAAGACCCTAATACTTTTTGAACGTTTCCTTCCACAATGTTTAATAATGTGCAATTCCATCCAGTCAGCAGAGTTTTGGATTCCCTAGACTGCCAATGTCAAAATGTTTTCAGATAACATGCAGGGGGGGGAGAAAAGGGGGAAAAGGCAACATGCTATGACTTTTCTTCGTGTAAGTCTCTACTAGGTTAAAGGACCTTTTACCTTTTGAACAGGGTCTCGATGTGGACAGGTGAGGGTGCGTGGTGGCTTCCAGCAAGGCGCACTAACAGTTTTGCTGTTCTTTAATTTATTGGAAAGCTCCATCAGCAGAAATGAGCACAGGCCTCCCCAGTCAATGCACTCTTTCTCCTTTGAGGTGTCGCTGTCCAGGAGGAGGCCACTGCGCTGCTGACTGAGAACCACGCTGTCAAACAAGAAGCCATATTCCTCCTCGGACCCGTGGCCAACTGATGACCAAGCAAGATCGATGAACTGAATTCGGGACAAGGAGCGGGATGCACCTGAGAAGTCCTGCATTCAACAGCAACAGGATTGTGAGATATTGCACAATCTTGGCACACAGCTGAATACAGCCAACTAGTGCACTCCCAGCATCAGCAAAGTTGGTCAATCATGAGTGTGGACTATGTAAAAGATGGAAATAGCTTCAGGCTATTTAAAGCCTCCCTTTTTTGCCTCCAAAGTACCCCCACTTTAAAGAAGTCCATGAGCACTTTAACCTCAGTAAACAATGTCTCCAATCTCTTTGAAACTGTTAGCTAAAACTAGTGCATCTCTTAGCTATTATAGTAAGGTATAAGACTAATACCTAAGGTTAGTTTCAAGTCTCAGTTATTGAAGCAAAGTATAAGACTGACAGCTAAGACTAGTTTCAAGTTTGAGCTATTGTAGTATGGTGTAAGGCTAATAGCTAAGATTAGCTTCAAGTCATAGCTGTTGTAGCAAGGTGTTCCATTGAACACACAATAAATCAAGGTATGTTTAAGACTGTGGCTACACTGTGACAGGAAATTGGTGCAGTTCAGGGCATCACAAATAAGCGACTTACTTCTAGGTGGCTACCTCCATCTTTTATACATCAGTTATGAGAAGAACCCAAAAATTAGGGCAGTACTTGAACAAATTAACTTGACAAGCTGTATATACTCCAGTAAACTAAAAGTAAGTAGAACATACCCAAACCCTATGATTTCTTAGTAAATCCCTGAGGATTCCCTTGTTTGTATAGCACTTCTTATCAGATCTAAAGGTATGGTTCTATACTGTCAAAATTGGAGAGAAATAATTTAACCCTGTTCTTTAAATGTGAAATAAAGGTGCTGTAATACAAGGCTGTCAATAGACTGACTTGAAATCAAAGACTCACAAGGAAAAGGTTCTGTAACTTTCTATAATCCTCAGCGTTCATTCTGCTTTCAAGCTGTGCCACCTCCATTCTCGTTCCCATGGTTACAGCTCAGACCTGTCAATCAATCAGCAATAAACCAGGTGAGGTCAAGGAGGTAAAATGCGTGTCTGTTTGCAGGTTGGTGTGGAATAGGGAATACACACACACACACACACACACACACACACACACACACACACACACACACACACATCACTGAATAAAATAGATTTCCCAACGTCTATGTGTTACATGACAAAACAAGATGCACTCAGAATAATCCCTCAATAACCTGCCATATCTATTTCACATGGGTCGTCATGCCACCGTGATCGTACAGCAAGGTCACAGCAGCAGCTTATTCTTGCCTCTTTTCACTGTTGGATAGCGTGCAAAGGTTTCCGCTATTTTCCGAACTGCAAGACTTTAGGAAGTAGTCAAACAAGCCCCCCCCCAAAAGAAAATTTCTCAGAAAGGCAGCGGGTTGCCAAAGCATGTCGAGTCTGTCATATCCGTTAGTGTGAAATAAAATAGTCAGATAGATGGAGAGAATAAAAGTGTGAATAAAAGGGAATGATTTCTGAAATTGCTCTGTGCTGAAATTAAAAGCGCATTTGAAGTCAAAGGGAGAAAGTTTCTTTTTAACTCCAACTCTCCTACAAAACACTCCAAGGGGCAGCGGGGCGGCAAACACTGTTTCATTTTTAGCATGGCATAAACGTTTATGAGACAAATTCACTGGATGTGGCATCAAACTGAACAGAGATTTAGATGACAGGCTGTGTAATGAAAGCAAAGGGAAAATAAATAAATCAATGCTTTGCTGCAGCTATTATCTTTTTTTTTTATAACAGTGATGAACTGCAGTGTGATCTTGACATGATAGTTAAACCAGACAACAGGTTCGCAGTAGACTGCAAGATGACTTTAGACTACTGTAATATTTAAAAGAACACCGATACTCATGGGACAATTTCTTCACATCTTGTTTGTGAGCGTGATAACTTCTAATCAACCACATCCTGACTTGTTTTGTGGCACGCCGCTGGCTTCAGTCTGCATGCGACTGCAAAGACGCAACTCTATAAAGAAAAATGAACACAGAAAGCTTGATGTGCCGTCCAAATTGCTGCTGCTTGAAAGGTAAGAGGCATTTCTTATGAATGCATCCACCTCTGGGAAAGACTCCTTTTGCAATCTTTTAGCAAACACACTTATCAGGGTTGCCTCTCCTCTTCCTGGATGGTCACTTTTGCTCCAGTTAGTCCTCTCAAAACTGTCACTGTAGTACTTCTGAGTTTTTAAAAGAACATGCAGTTAACTTGTCCGTCAACAAAGCATCTCAGCTCCTAACTGTGTAATGGCAGACCTGGCCTTCCAGTATACACATACCTCAAGTCAAGCATGTTTTCTTTTCAATCACAAAGTTCAAACAGTGAAACCAAACACAACTTTACACTTAATAACAAATTCAAACTTACCATTCAATTTCACCTCTCATTCTGTCATGGGTGTCTGTAGTATGTTGTCCCAAGAGTCCAGCTCTGAGGTGTTGGAAACACCACTTTCAAATGTGTGACATTTCAAACAAATCCTCACCTTCTGGCTATTTCGTCTTAGCAATGGCTGCCTCTCGTCTACAGGAGACTCGGCCGATTTGTGGCTGAAGTTTGTGTCCAGAGGTTATTCTAAGCTGGCAACGTGTAAGAAGCAATCAACGCCAACAGCCCTGACTGCAGGCACACACACCCACAGAGAGTTAACGAACTGCCCCCCAGTAGCCCAGACAGTGGCAGAGGCCACACACACACAACAAATCTTTTATTATCCTTCACTCTTAAAGACTCGGGCTAAGTTTCCTGGCAACCGAGTAGTCAAAAAGAGTTGTGAGAGTTTGTGAGTCCAGGCCTATTGTCAGTATGCGTGCGCGTGTATCCTTTCTATTCTCAGATTAGGCACAGGAGCGAACATAATGTGTGTGAGAGTGAGGTGCAACAACGCCACATACAACAACACGATTCACACAAAGATTCCACGGCGACTGATAATAAAAGAAAAATACTGACGTGAACCTGAACAAAGATAAAATACACACAAAACAGCTTTACAGCATCATTCAAATGCCTGTTAGAGGGCATCCTGCAGGTCAATTGTTGCTATGCACACACAGACGCGCATACACACACACAGAGAACAAAGTATCTCAGGGATTTGTTTAACTCAAACAAATCGATATCTCGCATGGTGGAAAGCATCAAACAGTAAATCCAACAAAGATGTAATCACCGCCCTTCCTTCCTGCTGCTCCAGTGACCATGGCCAATCTCCGTGTGTGACTTAATGGTCTTCAATAACTCGAATTAGCTGATTATGGCGGCCGTCAACAGTGACAGGATCGGAAAATTAGGTCTCAGCAATTTCAATAATAAAGCTTTAAAAATTAACACTATCACAATTGGATTACAGTGGTGCATGTAGGAGCCAGCAGAGAGCCCAAAATAGCCCTCCACAAATCCACCATGGAAAATCCACTATTATACAGGGAGAAGAATGAAGTTGCTGGAATGGGAAGGAGAAAGAAAAAAAAAAAATTGGTACGGCTCTTAGTTCTGGGAGGAAAGAGGCGCAGTCGAAGAAAAGAGAACACAAGGGCAACTGAGCGAAAATGAAGCACTCTCATACAACAATACAAATCTGAAGAGAGACCCACTTTTGGAAAAATCTTTCTCACACGTCAGAACTCTTTAATTTGCAAGAGGAAGAAGAAGAAGAAAAGTGGTTTAACTCGTCATGACTTCTTTAAGAGTTCTCAAAGAAGTTCAGGTCCCTTCATTTTATTTTCACAGGCCTTGAAAACGTCATGAAAACTACAGAGTAGGAGTTGAACAGAAGGTGACAAAGAGACAATATGTTCATAATCAGAGACATCTGCGTAAACATGTGAAGGTTAAGTCGTCACTCATTTGAAATGAATTGAAATCTGCAGCTTTGGAGCAGTAACGCTCTAGCTGGAAACATTAAAATACAAGACAGCGAGAGAAGTCCAGTTAAGTATACATGTATATACACATGGCACATATAGATAATACCTATGGGGAGCTAAAGAAAAAGGGTTAGAATCAGTGGGCTTTTGGTCAGAACAAAATAACAAAAAACAAAACATTTAAAGATGGCATCTTGGTCTTTGGCAAATCAATCAAATTACAAATGACTACAAACCGTATTGGCTGGATATTAGTAATTGCCAAAATGATAACTTTTAAGGACTTATATGCAATTGCCAAACTTTTAAGGACAAGGGAAACACTGACATGATCTGAACAGAGTGGAAAATGCAGAGGGGAGCGTAGAAAATATTGACTTAAGAATCTGATAAAAGAACAACATTAAAGAGTAAAAAAAATCCCCAGCAATTACTGTCAGCCTGACGTGCTTTGAAACTCGAAACTACCTGATCTCCCCTCAGAGCCACAGAATTATAAATTATACAGCCCCCCCCCAAAAAAAATAATAAAACACCTTTACAAATAAAAAGCCTTGTTTCGCCTGTCCTCTAATGAAAACGCTTCTCCTGTGTCTGCGCGCGTCTGTTCTTCGCGTCTTCTCGGGCCGCCGCCGCTGGGCCGCCAGTCTTGAAGGCCCGCATTATCATGTTGATTTGGTGGGTGAGCTGGTTGGCGCTGACAAACACATTTACTGCTCTGGAAACAACCAGAACAGAAAGACAAGGACACACGTGTCACTCACACGGGGAGAAAAAAAAACCCCGAAAAGCGTGGCAACAATATTAGGATTGATCCGGGGAACACTTTGATCTGGCTGGAATAGAGAATGTCAGGCTTCAGAGAACACAAGCCAGGATGGATCCACAGGAAGTGGGTCAAGGGAATTATTCAGCATTGGTGGATTTGATGGTAGCGGGCCTGTGATCAAACAACCACCATTTACATGGGTGACAGTGGGTGTGCGCGTGAGCGTCTATGCAAACAGGCAAGGCGTGCAGGCGTGGGTGGGTGTGTACGACTAGTGAATGCGTTGGTGGCTATGTGTGCAGACACGAATGAGAAAAGGTTGAAGATGTGATGGAGAAAAAAAAAGAAAAGGGGTAAAAAATACACTAGAAACAGTGTCTTACTTTCCATCTTTGAAGTAGGTTTTGAGAGTGTCACTGAAGCTCTTGGAGTATTTCACAAACTCTTTCTTCTGCTGTTCCACTACCTAACCAATAAATACAGACAGCCTTTCAGCTCCACTTATTTCACAGCAACTGTGTTTGTGTGCACAGGCACTTTTTTTTTTCTCTTAAACTTACTAATGTATCCACTTACCCGTCTGTTCTGATGTTGGTATTTCCTTAAGACAGTATTAACAGTGTTTAGCAGCTCCTTGATGGCACTGGCAACATCTCTGCGGATGACACGCACAAGTGAGTCCATGTTAGAAAGAAAAAAAAAATATATAGAGAAATCTTCAAATCTGTCTGTTTTTATCAGGCACTGATACCCTGAAACTACAGTCCTTTGATCCAGCTCGTTGTCTCCCCTTTCTTCCCCCTGTTCTCACAAACACGCTCTCACCTTCAACTCTCTTTCTCTGTCTCTCTCTCTCTCCCTCTCCCCTCGCATGCACTTGAAATCTGCCGTTTCATAACTTTAATTTCTTAGCATTCCCTTTGAATTGATTTTATTTCTAAGCCCTCCGCTGGGTAAGTAACTTAAGCACTGACTCACTAAGAGTATTGAATTCCATCAAAATAATGGCAAAGTGGGCCAAGAAGATGAAACATCTCTCACTTTCTCTCTATAGCGTGCGTGCAGCGCGGCGGACAGGGACGTTAATAGTTTCGCCATCACTGCTGTGCACACTGCTCAACCTTTGAAAGGAATCTTACGGCTTAGAAACAAAGACATGCTCCGGTTGGCCAGTTGGAATAAAAGAAATGAGAGCTATGTAATGCCAGGCAGCGTCTTAGTGCATATAATGAAATATTAATTGGAGAACAGTTACTAAAAGCCAACTCTTTCACTTTTAATCAACCATCGAGATGTTGTAAGTCAAAAGGGCTTGCTTTCTGCTACTTTAATCACTTAATCTGATCGAAATTTTGCACGTAGTAGTGAACCTGATTTACGTCACACTGCAACACACGTGCACATTCACACACACAGCTGTCTTACTTGATGGTATGTAGCAAGCCCATTCGGTCATTGATCTCATCAGGCAGGGTGCTTAGGATGTGTTTCAGAGCTCGGGCCCTCTCGTTCAGCTCCTGGAACTCTGGCTCTTTCCTGTCAATCATCAACTCTGAAAAACACCGAGAGGAAGAGAACAAAAGACAGAGCTCAAACTCCTCGCAGCAATGGGCACGTCAGCAGTCGGCAGAACTCATGAAATTAATATTGGTGACGTGTTAAAAACCTATATCTACAGTGCAAGTGTGAAAAATGAACACAGCATCAGGAGTATGTGTACATGCGTGTGCACTCACACACACACAAAAACACACACATGTTAGGGACAGTAACGTGTTGAGTTTGTTAAGTGAAAAGCCGGATTAAGGTAGAACTTGGGATGTGCCATGCAGGAGGTACATTTAAAATTCATCCAGTGTGTGTGTGTGTGTGTGTGTGTGTGTGTGTGTGTGTGTGTGTGTGTGTGTGTGTGTGTGTGTGAATTCATTACTACCATCAATCACTGTACACTCGGCACAAGGAATTCAATTACAGACAGAAACAAGGGAACAACTGAAAGCAGACAGAGGGGTTGATTTGTGTGGAAACAGCTCCCCCCAGTGGATATCTGTGCTGCAGCAGCACAGGACTGGGCCGTCACAGAAACCAAAGAAAAACCAAGTTGGTATTCCCACAGCTTTCATCTTTAAGTGCACATTCTGGTCTACAGCAGAGTACAAAAAACAAAACAAAAAAAAAAAAACACCAAATAAAAGAAACCAAACCTACCCTGCATATCATCTCCAGCCATGCGAAGCAGAGACTCGTTATAGTTAATTTTTAACTTCTTCTTTTCCAATATTTTGACAACAACGTCCTGGGTAAGGCCCGGGGTCTCCTTCTCTGCCTTGAGACACACAAACATGCAGCTGCTGAGGACTCACAGTCACCCTTGGTGTTTTGCGAAAATAAAACTATAATCAAAGTTATAAATCACTAAGCTGCTGTAAAGAGGATTTACAAAGTGAAGGGTACAGGCAGAGTCGATACAAGAAGGATGGCAGTTTTGTCCATGAAATGCAAGCAAACAAACTTTAAGAGAAAACTTTACCTTTATAAAAGCTGTTCTCAAGGTCTGCGCTGCTGATAAATTGATCTTCTCCAACTGCAAGTTGTAATACACAAACACACAAGAATAAGCCAGCGGTAAAACTAACACTCACACAGCTTAGCTCTTACCATGGCCTTTTGTCTGTGCTGAAATGTAATTCTGTAAAAAGTACATGAAAGCTAAGGATCCCACCGTGTTAAAAGAGGACACCGTGATGCTGAGATGTGAAAATCCGTGTGGACTGAATTGGATTCTATTGTTAACCTCGAAAGAATCGAAGTACATTCAGTTTCTCTGAGCTGATATTTTGGCATTAGGCAGGTCTTTGCTTCTTCAGCTCCAGATCGCTGCTTGTTGGTTTGCGCACCGTGAAATCGATAGTTTTTCAATAAGATAATTTCATACTGTAAACAATAACACCTTGAAAGCACAGCAGAAAAACAATGAGAGCAATCAGGAGTGACAAAAGCTGAAATTAGCAAGTTGCAGAAACCAATTTAAGCCAGGGGATAACTGCCGAGTAGGTTTGTGTTACCCAGTAATTTGCTTAAAAAATAATAATTTTTTTTTTTTTAAAAACCCCCAAAAAACAAAATGGGTTTTAAATTTTTGTTATGTTTACATGTACATTGTTTTAATTCCTCCTTATTTACCACAAATTCCTCCCCTTAATACTCAGAAGTCCACAAGCAAATGCTAAATAACAAAAGACATAAATGAAAGACATGATAATGGGCAAATAAAAAACAGCAGCGCACCAATATATCAGTGAAACATGGCTATTAGCTGATATTGGGGCTTTTGACTGCTTTTTTTTCAGTTCAACGACTGAAAAATAATGTAAAGAGCTGAAAGATTTTATTTAATATGTTTGATTATTTTTTGCAAACAAAAGCAGCCTTTTTGGGCTTAAGGTCAAGGTCAAGTTTATTTATATAGCACATTTCAAACAGTCGATGCTGCACAAAGTGCTTAACAATATAAAAATGGCATTAAAAAGCAACAATGTAATACAATAATAACATTATAAAACAATAATAGGACAATAAAAGAATTAAAACAATAACTAAAACTATTTCAAATAAGACAAAAATGCTTGGGTCATAGTGTGTTAAAAGCCAGGGCATAAAAATGTGTCTTTAGTAATGATTTAAATTGTGTTTGTGCAGATTTAATAATTAGGGGGAGACTATTCCAAAGTCTGGGACCTGCCACAGAGAAGGATCTATCACCACGAGATTTGAGATAAGTCCGTGGGATGGACAGCATTAATTTTGAGCTAGCTTAAAGGTGCAGGTAAATACAGGTGTTACTGACCTTGCCTTAAACAAAACAGAACCTTCATTAAACGACCTTAAACGCTTACCAGCCACTTTATTAGATACTCTCATTAAACTGCTCGATAATGCAAGTGTCTAATCAGCCAATCACATAACAGCAACTCATTGCATTGAGACATGAAGACTTGGCCAAGATGACTTGCTGAAGTTCAAACTGAGCATCAGAATGAGGAAAGAAAGGTAATTTAGGAGACTTTGACTATAGCATGATAATTGTTCCCAGAAAAGGCGGTCTAAGTATTTCAGAAACTGCTGATCTACTGACATTTTCCCAAACAACAATCTCTAAGGTTTACAGAAAATTCCCCCCCCTCCCCAGCTCCCACGCCAAAAAAAGAAAGAAATAAGACATATCCAGTGAGTGGCAGTTTCTGGGCAAAAACTGCCTTGTTTGTGTCAGAGGACACTGACCAGATTGCTTTGAGCTAAAGGGAACTCAACAATAACTCATAAGCACTTATTAAAAGGTGTGCAGAAGAGCAAAACAACAAACCTTGAAGCAGATGTGCTACACAGCAGAAGACCACACTGGGTACTACTCCTGTCAGCTAAGAACAGGAAACTGAGGCTCCAGTTCACACAAAACTGGTCAACATCAGATTGGAGAAAAAATGTTGCCTGCTTTGATGAGTCTCAATTTCTGCTACCACATTTGGATGGTAGGGTCAGAACAACATGAAAGCATGGATCCACCCTCCCCTGTATCAACAGTTCAGGCTGGTGGATATTAGCACCCTTGGTACCAACTAACATTGTTTTTTTGTTTTTTTTTATTCTTTATTTCTAAACTATTACTTCACGAAGGTGATTACAGGCATTAATTAACACAATTTACAAGGGAAAAACAAAATGAAAGAAAAAGAAAAAGAGAAAAAGAAAAAAAAACAACAACAACAACAACAACAACAAAAAACAGTCGGGAGTGACCAATTAGCTAGGTTGGTGGTTTCAAGCTTTGAGGAGAAGATCCGGCTTATGAGTATTGGCATATAGGACCCACTTATCCCAACACAAACGGAACCAACACACTCTGTCACTGACATAAGCTGTTACCTCCTCCATCCTATAAATCTCTACCATAATGACAAGGTCGGTATATCTTGCAAGGACCCTTTCTTAGTTATACCTTTCTTACTTGCAACAATTAAAGCTCTTAACAGACATGTATCATTTTTAGACCAGTTCTGCGGTATACAACCAAAAAAGTTTGTCTCCATGTCCCAACTAACATTGTTTAAACCCCACAGCCTACAGCCTACCTGAGTATTGTTGGTGCCCGGGTCCATCTCTTTGTAACCACAGTGTACCCATCTTCTGATAGTTACTTCCACCAGGATAGCACACCATGTTACTTGAACATGACCATAAGTTCTCTGTACTTGAATGGCCTCCACAAGAAATAGAAGTTAATCAAATAGAACACCTTCGGGAGGTGCTGCAATGGGAGATTCCCCTTATGGGTGTTTCCATGATCTTGTTGAATCTATGTCTTCAGAACTGCCTTAATTCTTTGTGTCAAAGTGTATCTGATGAATTATCTGGTGAGTGAATATCAAGACAAAATGGCTGTTGGGAAACAGATAAATTCCCCATTTTAAAAACTGTTTTCAACTCCTTTTCTGGGTCTTTAATGATAACAAAATAAAAGAAAAAAAGACAATGGAAAAGTGTAACCTGTAATCGTGCAGGTGTGATACACAGAGATGCTTCACATGGATAAAAAAAACCCTTCAGAGATACTGACAGTCACTCAGATTTACCATCAGCTGAACAACATGAATAGTAGCAGCCTGCTCACTCCTCATTACCGCTCATTCTCCACCACTTGTTCTTGTTAACACTACTGTTTCCGTATTTCTATTCGGCTACACCATCAACTCTGCAACCTCACACAAAAGCCTTTCCACAGTTAAATACAACCCCAGCTTGAACTGACTATTTACCGAAAGTCTCATTCCAATTTTCTTCTAAGGTCACAAACTCTCTTTTTTTTTTTTTTATTCTTTACCTCCTTAAAAACAGGAAACATCACGGTGTAGAGAGCCATCGGAGCCAGCGAGGCAGCAGCTGCATCATTCTTCATGTCTCCCATGGTCATCCTTGACCAATCGATGGACCCCTGTGCGTGCACTCGTCCACTGATGCCGGTTTCACTGCATTCAATCAGTCATGAAGACTGACAGAATGGGAGCAGACAAGGATCTAAAGAAGAAAAGAGCACGATGGGAGAACAAGCAGGGAAAGATGGATGGTAGTTGACAAAAACAACTGTGTAAGGGATTAAAAAAAAAAAAAAACTAGATAAATAAATAAAATGATCCATGTTTACAACCAGGCTAAATTTATCCTGTTTAAACATGTCTCTATTGTAGTGAGGAGGTAGAGAACTGGTTCCACAAAATTTCAACTGGAGCACTCTAATTCTATAAATTTTTGTGCAATTAAACAAGATCAAACCCCATGTTTACTTCTTCCAAGAAAGTCTTTCAGTCACAGATATGATCATTCCATAACAGCCACACCACTTAAAAGACTGTGCTTTACTGCTCCACTGGGTGCAATGCCGACAAAACAGGCACGAGTCACACCTGTACCAGAAAACCACGCTCTTCTGAAAATGACTGCCGCAATAAAGCAAGGCGGTGTGATAAATATACGACCTTGGTATTGGTTTTTAAGCTTGTTTCCCCCCCCCAGACCAGGTTAGTCATAAATAATAACAAGAGGAAGATCCAGCACATCCTCTTTTGCAGGCCTGTATTCTGTCTCTTTTACTGTTGGTGACACAGGAATTCACAGGACCAGTTTTTGCTCACCTACATTGGCTCTATGTGACAATCTCCATTCGTACAACAAATCCCTAATTAAATAAGGCCTTTTTATACGAGCTCACTATTCACACGGGTGAATGAAACAAGAGCAAGACAAGTCGTCACCCTGTGACTTTCTGCCATAACTGAGAGTGCTCTTAGGTTTATCAGATGCTTGGTTCTGCCCTTTGGCACTCTCTCGTGCATAGAGAGTAAAACTGTAAACAGGTCCAGTGTGACATTATTATATCTGATAAGGATTTTAAACGGAGGTTTAATCAGTGTTTACAACAGCCATGGTTACAGGAAGGATTGCACTGGTTTCTAGTTATAAGGGATACGTCATATACAATTACATGTGCCAAAAAAGGTAACACTGCAGACTCTGTTACTTCCCTGAACCATAAATGACTAAGGTGTGGCAAATCTTAGTGCAGGCCAAGACAGAGAGGTAATGGTAGCATTTGGCACAGATATATGGAATGCAGACCAATCATTCAGTGTATGCCAGGACAAAAGGTTATTACAGCCCCTTCTGAGTCATTTGCATAGACTAATGTAGCTCTTCCTGGAAATAAAAAAGGGGGGAGAATAACAAAAAAGTGTTCAGAGCAGCATGAATATCTGGGGCCGTTTAAAACCACCGGGGTGGTTTGTTTGTTTTTTTTAGAGTTCTCTGTGAAATGACCCTTGGATCAAAGAGAGGCGTATTGCTCTGAAAAGGTTACGGTCATAACTCACTATTGACATTTATAAATCAAAGTATTATAATTTTTTTTGTTTGTTTTGAACTCCCTTATTTTGCCCTTTTCTGAAAGGGTACCGACCTCGCTGTAGTAGTCACTATATTTGAGGTTGCCCTGCTTCTCAGCTCCATCACAGGTCTTTTACCAGTTTATGTGGTGGTTAGCAGGCACGCCAAACTACATTAAAAATAAAATCCAAAGAGCTCAAACTTTCGGTACCAGCCTTACCTGATAAAAGATGGCTGCCAGTGATGAGAGAAGCGGCGGACCGTTGACCGGAAAACAGCAAATCACGTCTATAGGTAACGAACTAACGTTAGAACAGCAGCTTCGAGAGCAGGTGATTCAATCTGTTCTGTTAGCACTCCAGTTGCCTCCTTATGAAGTGCGACTAAATAAAGCTGAATGAAGGCGGGGACGTGTTGTTGAGTTATCTTCCCGTCTTGTTTTGGGTTACGTCTCGTTCAGGAAGTTTTATTGTCTAATAAAAGTGCAGACGAGAGCCAGGTTGGGCGGTGTTGGGAGCTGCCCGTTGGCGTCGCTCCAGGCTGTTTGTAGTTCTTCCTATGGACGCCCTCAATGTTTCGTTATTGCCGGGGACACCGAAATAGACTTCAATTCCCAGGTAATGGATTTTTAACCCTTAAGTCGAGTATGAGACGAATATTATCTGCGGTATGAGCGCACACATTTTAACCATGTTTAAGAAAACATAATATAATATTGATATGAATGTGTATATGCGTCTACAGTTAAGATTTGTGTCTACAATTAACATGACACGAATGATAAGGTAGCTAGCTATCAGAAGAACAAAATTAACGGTTTTCACGACGGTCAAGAGAGTTCGCTGCCAAAAAGCTAAAATATCGTCAGTTGCGCAGAAATACCAGGCTTAATTAAAGGTACGTTAATACTGACAGGATGCGGCTGTTAACAATTATTAGCATTGTGCGTTACTGCAGAACGTTGTTTGCTAGGGAAACTGTGCTAACCGCTAACCTCCAGGACCATTATTAAGCTGGAGGTTAGCTTTTACAAACAAAGAAACAAAACAGAGAGAGAGAGAGATGTGATACATCTTTGCTATTTCATAAAATAATCAAGAGGCTGTCGTCAGAATGGTCAAAAAATATGTTTGGAATGAGAGTAACTTGAAGCTTTACGGATTCACAGACATACAAGGAAGCTGGAGACAGTTACTATTTCACCTCACGCCTAAACTCTTTGATCAACGCTCATTGGACCAATCGGCGTGGAGTGGGCGGGGTCTGCGGCAAACGAAGAAACAGTGAGCTGCGGAGGAGAGCAGCAAAGAGAGAGACCGCACTTATTCATCCTTCCATCCCAACCAACCGTACGCCCTTTATCGGTAAGAACCGTTTCTGGCAATAATACATATAAATACATATCTATGGTTCAGTCACAACGCCGGTGCTGATTTATGTGAACCATATTGAGATAAGAAAACCGTAAGTGCTCAGCTTTTGCACGATAACAGAAGAATGTGATATTTCTGAGTTTTTCCACTGGAATTTCTGTTTATTAAGCTGTCAGGAATGAGTAGGTGTAATGGGGCATTTTATGGACGAGTGTAAAAGGATTATGATTGCTGTAATCAACATGTGTGGGCTTTTAATAGGGGGGGCGGGTGGAGACGCACATTGGAGCCAAACGTATTTTTTCCCAAGCCCACACTGATTAAAGCCGTTACCCGTGTGTCCACTACCCAGGGCTATTTAATTTTCATCGGTGGTGCATGGTTAAATTGTTGTAGTTCTTGTATGGGTTTTTTTTGTTTGTTTGTTTGTTTGTTTTTTGTTTTTGAACTGAAATCAGCTTCAGTCGATGTGTTGGGGCTCTTGTCCTTGAAATATAGGCAAAGGCGCATTGAGTGAATGTGTGTGAAATAACGAGGCAGATTGTAGTAGCTTGGTCCTGCCTTATCCCTACCCCACAGTAACACACATACACACCACTTGTTATTCCTTTAATGCAGATCTCTGTATATGAATGTGTGTGTACATGATGGCTTTGATGGCCATCGATAAGTCAAATGTATACCTACTGTCTGTTTTATTTATGTTAAATAGCAGTGGACAAAAGAAAGACGGAAAAATCTGGTCAAACATTGCAGTAAAAGATGGAATTATTGCAGTATGATTAGATTGCACTAAAACATTTATGATTTTTTTTTTTTTTTGGTTATTTTTCTCATGATATCACCTATTCTATGTGGCATTTATGTGAGTAGGAAAGCAAAAGTCCGCAATAAATATTTCATCGTTCCTCTCTCATGTCTCATTCTCTCAATCCACCTCTCACATCTGCTTATCTCTGCCACTAAAACAGTGACTTTTCTAAATCCTCATTTAGGGAAACAGGAAAACAGAGTATCCTTTTAGGTCATAATCTCAATGTATTAATCCCATATGGATTTGAATCACTGGTTAATCCCCGCTGATAGCCTGCTGTTTGCCCCCCTGTGCCTGCCTACGGTTTCAGCGCTAGCATACATGTGTGTGTGTGTGCGTGTGTGTTCTCTCTTTTCCCACAGAGTACTGCATTAATTGCATTTCAATAATTAAATGTCTTTCAAATCGTCCTAGCGAAACAAAATGAGAGAGGAGGGAAAAGTAAGTGCCTGGGTTTGAACGGCACAGCACGCCGAGCTGTGATTGCTTGTGTGTGCGAATGCTAACAAGAACCTTACAAATCTGTATGTGTGCAGGACTGCTGACGTGCATCTGTCAGCTACACGTGTGGCTGCGAGAATAAGGAGCAGTAAGTAAGATACTCTGTTTCCTCAAGCTGGGACCAAGCTTGCTATGTGCTGCCGTGTGAACCATAAGAAGAAGTTTAACATCTGTGTTCTGCAGTACGTGTCTTCGCCCCACAGTTACTGAGCACACTGTGCATGCAGTGCACTTGTGTGGTCTTTCTTCTGCCTTTTTTGTTCTGCGTAAAATAAACTCACAAACCGAAGCACGCTACCTGCATATACGCTTTCAAGCCGCAGGTTTGTCCCGAGTGTGCTCAGCGGCAGCAAATACACAGGATATTTAGCTTATATTTGGACAGATCTGAGGATGAGGGAGCAGAAATATTCCAAGAGAAAGCGGTCAGGTGAGGGGAAGACGTCAAAACAACAGAAATAGCTCATCTTAGATTTAGGTAGCAAAGCTGCCAAAAGCTGGCATCCCAAATTAAATGCATCCATGTTGGAAAGCATTGAAAACATAGAGGATCTTAACACCTAAAGCTACCTAAAATACTGAGGTATGCTTTTAAAAATTTGTAAACGATTTAAAAATTGTGTGTTTATCTGCAAGTGTGAGTATTGCATACAATTAAAGGGTTTTTAAAAAATTATTTTGTTTCATTTAACAAGTGTAATACGTACCTGTGTTTATACACTTGTACCCTGGAACTGATCTGTTGATTGATTTGTGATGCAAAGTGTAGAGGAGAGAGGATGAGTGCAAGTAGAAGATCTATCTGAGGAGGAAAATAAAATGGTGACAGTCATTTGATAACCCAATCTATATGCAAAACACATACTACTCACAAAGTAGACTGCTGCTTTTGCACCACTAGCTGTTCAGCAGGTACTAAGTGTAGACACAGGATGCATGACCTCACCTGGCTTGAATGCAGCCGTCATGAATGCACCTGTGCATTTCCTGCTATCATGTGTCTCCTCTGAAAAAAAAAAAAAAAAAAAAAAAAAAAAAAAAAAACAACAAGATTTTCGCATTGCCCAGCTTCTTTTTTTTTTTTTTTTTTTTACATCTGTAGTCAGAAGACTTTAACTCAAAATCAGTTTAATTTATTCCCTAAATGTTTACACCTGCAAGCTAACAGTTTCGAAACCTTCATTATCACTCTGCCTCTCGGCAGCCTCGTCACAGCTTTTTATTGAGGATCACCTGCCTTGTCTCTTTTTTCTTATCTCTGTTACCACCCCAGATATACGGGCACTGCTAGGTCTGTAAGTATTTGGACAACGACGCATGTTTTTTTTTGTAGTTTTGCCTTGTTTTGTAAATCAAGCCATCAATATGGGATTAAAGTGCAGACTTTCAAAGCATTTTTTTTTTAAGTTGCATTAAATGTGTTGAAATTTCGACTTTTTTTTTTTTTCCAGAGATTACAAGATGATAATAAGACAAACTAATATAATTGTAAAAATCCCTTGCAGTCATCAAATGCTTCAGTTTCCCTTGAGATGCCAGGCCTGTACCGCCTTCAGTAACTAAAAGCTGCACTGTTGTGCCTGACCTGACCATTGAAGAATATCCAGTTTCACTGCCTTAAAAAAAAAACCCTGGACTGCTTTTGCTTTGGATCATTATCAATTTATATTGTGAAGCGCTGTCCAATCAGTTTTGCAGCATTTAGCTGAATCTGAGCAGAGAGTATAGCGTCACCTCATCAATAAACAATAGCTGCCCAGCTCCACTGGAAGCCATATAGACCCATGTCATAACATTGCGTTGTTTGACAGATAATATGCATTTCCTTCCTTCTCCATACCATTCTCTTCTCATCATTCTGGTACAAGTTCATCTCGGTTTCATCTGTCCAAAGAATAATCTCCAGAGCTGTGTAGGCTGTTTCAGATATTTTCTGGTAAAGTCCAGTCTGGCCCTCTTGTTCTTCAGTGTAACCAGAGGTTTGCAGGTTGTTGTAAACTCTGTATTTACATTCTTAAAGGAGTCTCTTGATTGTAGACTTTGACAGTGACAGTCCGACCTCTTCAAGAATGTTCTTGACTTGGTTAGATGTTGTGAAGATGCTTAACCTAACCATAGAAATAAATCTGTCATCATAGTTGTCTTCTGTGGTCTTTCAGACCTTTTAATGCTGCTGAGCTGCTCAGTGCATTCATTGTTTATTATATTTAATATTCCACTGAAAAGCTACCAAATGCTATCGAATCAACTCTAGATTTCTCATTTTCTTAATTTGTAATAAAATAATTAGGGAGCACGCCTCACCTAACCATGAAACTGCTTGTCAGGAAATTGTCCAATTTACTTTGGACTCCCTGAAAATCGGCGACGGTGGATAAGAACGGCTGTAATCCATAAACAGCTAATAGAGTATTTTTGTTGAAAGTCTGACCTTCACTTACATCCTGAACGTTTTATTTAAAATACACTGTAGCAATGCACAGTCCCAAAGCTGCACAAAAATCGTGTCGTTGTCCAAACACTTACGAACGTGACTGTATGTGTACGCTTCCCCCACAGGACTAGTTGATAGTGACCTTTCCTATGCTGTAGACCATTTGAAAAAGCCTCCAGTCTTTTCACTTTTACCGCTGACCCCAAATAAAGGCTGATCCAATTACAACTCAAACCTTCTAAATGTGCTCCCACAGCACCAGAGGGGGGGGTGTGTGGGGGTGTGTGTGTGTGTGTGTCCTGATATGGACGAAGAAAAAGAGACACTGTTTGGTGTGCCAGGACAGAGCGTGGGGAGCAGTCAACCATCTTGCCATGCCGTGCAGGGGGCCGTGAGATATGACTGGCTCAGAGTCAGTGCTGCTAAGCTACCTCCATGCAGCTCCTCAGTACACCTCCTGCCACAATCATATTTGTCTGTCTGTTTTTATTTGTGTCTTCTCCTCTTTTGCTAATTTTCTACCAAAAAACGGTCCTTGTACCTCTCTGTGAGTGTGTGTCTGTGTATGTGCTTCTCCCTCTGGATGTCTCTGTTAGCAGGGATTAATAAAGAGTTGTTAACCTCTGTTTGCCCTCTGTGGAGTGTGCAGTGAGCATCTTGGGACTCCAGGCAGCTTCAATAGCACAGTGTGTCATTGCTAACAAGGCACTGGATAAGCTAATGTTCTGACATTAGCCATGCACAGGCTACATTCAATCACATGGCAAACAAAAGTACCACGGGAATGGTTGTGAACTGCAGGGCCAGAATTAGAGTGGTGCTTAACCAAACTTAAGCATAAGTAGGTGCAATCAGCTTTGTTTAACAGTTACTAAATAACAGTGACTAATAAGGTGTTGCTACAGCACCGACTGCTGTGTCATCATTGTGGCTTGCACTCTCAATCATACATAACCCATCCTTCACTAATAATAATGCTATAAAAGCAGCAGACAGATTTAGGTAATCAGTCCTGAGCCTGTGGAAACAGAGTTTTCCTCTCCTCTGTATCCCTGTGTAGTACAGCACACATCTTCTGTTCACTTCTTAGTTATAGAAAGAATAACAATCTGTAACACATTTCACGCTCGATTACAATTTCATGTGATTGAGAAAACTTAATTCATTAAAATGGCCCCTTTCCAAATTAAAAGCTATAAACGAGTTAATCCCAAAGTTGTTGGAGAGAAGATGATTTTTTTT